TAGGGAAAGTTAATACCATGTTTGGCATAAAGGAATTATGCCCTTTTAAGGAAAATACTAAATAAAAAGCAGAAGTGAAGTAATAAGGCGATCGGGAATTAGTATGTAACTTCTGGTTAACCAGCTCTGGTGGCCGGAAGAGGGCATTTTTTTATTTTTACACCACTCCGGGACAGGATAAATATCTGCCACAGAACCCAATCCAGTGTGTTCCCAATGCTCTCTGAGCAGCGAGGGGCACCCTGCCTGCAGGCTGTAATCAAATAAATTCTGATTCACTGAAGGAAAGTCTGTCTCCAGAAATTACTTATTGGTAAGAGAGAATTTCATTTACCACATGGCCTTAAACCAGACTTTGGATTTTTCCCTTTTCATCTAATTGTGAGTTCTGACTTAATGCGAGCACCTTTAAGACGAAGCAGAAGATATTTCATACCTACTAATGGTCAATGCTAGATATCCAATTGCATGTTAAACCCCTCCATGTCATGGATTATTAAATTTTTGTATTGAGGTTTATATCGTTTTCAGGAGTGATTTTTCCATCTTAAACAAGCAGCATAAAAATGGTGGTCTGTCAAGATGTTTAGAATGGTCTTTTTAAACTAAAAAAAGATGTTTAGAATGGTCTTTTTAAACTATAGTGGTGAAAGACAAATCAATGGGAATGGTCTCTTTAAACTGTATTGTGTCTGTGAATCATTAGATTATGTATTTAAATACCCCACATGTGATTCTGTTATTGAGAACCCAGTCAATCCATTGTGGAGTGGTAAATTGTAGTAAGCTACAATTATTATTGCTGAGAGATGGGGTAAGTTATTCTCATAAATGGGAGGTCGCTAGATAGAAGGGTAGTTGCTGATTACGGAACCAGATATATTTGTATACTTTGTATCTTTTCGTTACACCATGCAGTTCTGTTATAAAAGATTTGTGAATCCTTCTGTGTGACTTGAATAAGCCTGTCGAAACACGTTATTCACTTAAGAGATGTGTCGTCTACGCAGGATTCATGTGAAACCACTCCATGCTACAGATCGTTAAATGTTTATGTCCAAGTTTATATAATTTTGGGGAGTGAGCTTCTATTTTGGACTTTCAATGCAACAGTGTTTGCGCAAGTTGAGCTATTTCGAACTGTCACTTCAAGCTATGTCTGTTTCTGAAACACAAACTCCTTAAATTGTATTGCGTCTGCAAGAACCCTTGTGCGTTTAGAAACAATCTTTTGAGAATAGCAGAAGCAAATTGCCACGGACTTCTGTGTATATAAATTTTTATATACGAGACTGTAATAATCACATTGCTATCAATTATATATTTTTCATTATTGTGTATTCACTATTCATTTCATAAAAATCAAAAAATTGTCAAAAAAAATCTTGAATGGATGGTGGTTAAATGATATTGACGGCTTTATAGTCTGTGATTGTTTAGACTTCCTTAGCCTCCAAGTGGACCTGGAGATCTCCCAGGCTACAAAGAGCAGTTCCTCCGGGGAAATGTCTGCTTTAGAAGTTTGGGATCTGTGGCAGTGTTCCCTCTAAGCTGAGTTAGTGTGAGCCAGCTCACAGTTTTTTAGCCTCCGGCTCACACATTTTTGTCTTAGCTCAGGAAGGAGGGCTCCAGAACAAACTCATTTATGCAGCAGCCAAATCACTCGCTCACCACTTTACTACCAGTAGCTCATAAAGTAACAGCGTTCCGTGCACCTCAGTGTTTAGTCATGCCAGCCACATAACCCCGGAAACATCTTCGGACAGCGCTGGCTCTTCAGCTTTGAAACGGAGATGAGCACCGCAACCCTAGAGTCGGATTCGACTGGCTTTCGAGCAAGGGAAACCTTTACCTTTACATAAAGTAGAATTTTTGCTCACAAGACTCCACAGCTTAGAGCATGGGTGTCTGACTTTATACCCCACTGAGGCCTCTCTCCTCCCCAAATGCTGGAGATTTAGGGGTGGAGAGTGGGGACAGCAGCAATTCCCCAGCCCAGAGTTAGCAACCCTGTACAGTCCCCCCCTATCCCCCTACCTCGGAGGGTTATGGGCCCTGAATATGGATTTTTCCTTTCACCATCATAGCTAATTGGCATTGATGGACTTGTTCCCCATGATTCCATCTAAGCCTACAATTAAACTAGAGGCCATCCTGGAACAGCGAGGTCCATAAGTTAACTACTCTTTACATGAAGAAGCCCTTCCTTCAGAAAGGGTTAGTGTGGGAGAGGCAGGGCCTCACGGGAGGAAATGCCAAAAGCTCACATCCAGACACATACATCCTGTAATGTATTCAGCCTGACATGCCCGGACTTGCCCGGGCTTGCCAGGCACAATCCATCAGTAGCTTCAGTCTTGAGACAAAGGATCCGTAGGATCCAAGCCGGCCCAATCAAAGGGCTAGCTTCCCAGCCAGGAGACCAATGGTCGCCCGGTTACTGTAAATAGCCTATTGGGAGTAGGGGGTGTGTTTAGGTGTGCTTGGTGGCGGGTTTTCTGAATGCATATAAACCGGCCTGTGAGCCGGTTCGTTGTCTTTGTCCTGAACTAAATAAAGGTATGCTTAGCTGAAATCACTCTCCGTCCACATACTTTTCACATCCCAAGCCCTAAAAGTCTGAACGTCCCTCACCAGATCCAGCATTGTTCACCAGGCAGTCCAGGCATCCGTAATGATCTACAGTGACCCGAATCAGCCTCTGCAGGAACAAAGATGAACAGACATCTAAGGCAGGGCAAGGGTAGCAACAGAATTGAGAATGCTGCCATTCCAGAGCTGCAAGAGACCGTGACCCACTTAGGGCTGCACTTGTTCCAGGTCTTGGGAGCAAGACAGAGAAAGATGAGCAGCAAAGGAGCCTGGGGGAAGAAGCAGAGGAGCAACCAAAGAAGAGGGCTCCTGTGTGGGATGGGGGACGAGGCCTGATCCAGCCTGGGGAGAGGGTCGCTCAGGCATTTGGTGGCTGAGGGTCTCTGAACCATAATCTCCCTCCTGTCAGAATATACAGAGCAATACAACCACTGTGAAAATGTAATAGTGACCTCTAAATCTCCAATACAATATTAGATACCAATCTTAAACACAAGGATTCCACATCTCTGATTTAGGATCGCTGGTTTCTGCAATGGTTGGGATTACATTCATTCTTGTCAAGCTTCATTAAAATTATTTCCAGCTGGAGTTTCCGGTGGCTGTGAGATTGCGCAGTCAGACCGAGAGAGCCTCCGCGTCCTAGCTCCAAAGAATGCAAAATAAAGACTAATTGAGGACCATAAAGATAAAAACAACTTGCTGATAAGAATGGGGAAGCAAAGAGGAGGAAAAGGAGGGAAAGCAGCCAAGAAAAATAACGAGGGAGCTCAACAAACTGAGCAAACTATGCAACCATCGGATGATGACTCCCCCCCCCATTTGAACTCGACTCCGAAGAAGAGGCACCTAGCCGGCAGAGTAAAAGGAAACGTGAGGATTCAATTACCAAAAAAGATATACAGACTATGCTGGTAGAAATGAAAAAAGAAATTAAAGACAGCATCACCCCTATCTATCAGAAACTGGACACTATGAATCTCAGCCTAACAGATCTGCGGCACTGACGCAAACAGCTAAAAATAAGCAGGATATACAAAGCCTGAAGACCTTTGAGACTTGGAGTAAGTCCAAAATTATTCTTTTGGATATAAAGGCTCGGGAACGGAAAATTAAATTTAGGGGAATCTCCCCAAACTTTTCTATAGACAAAGACCTCATGGACTCTTTGAATCTGTGGCTCCAGGAATTATTGCAACTGCCAGCTGCACCAATTAGCCAAGCTTATCGGCTGAAACTACCACAAACAGGCTCGCCTACACTAATTCCGGACATTCTTGCTGAGCTGAAAGACATTAAAGCAAAGGCTACTATCTTAGAAGCTGCAAGGAAGAACAACGGTCTCCAACTTGAGGACACTAAAATACAAGTGTTCAAGGACTTACCATCTGAGATATTAACTGCGCGCCGGAACCTGAAGCCAATTACAAAGCGGTTGACAGAAAAACAAATTAGATATCGTTGGCTTCCATTGGGACATTTACATATAAACTACAAAGGCAGAGACCACACCGTTCATGACCTCAAGTCTGGAGAGGAAATGCTAACTGCTTTACAACTTTAAGCTTCAGACAAAAAATGAGAGGACAACAGCTTCAACTTTAGATAAGCCGATTTAATACTAATATATTGTTTTAAACATTGTGACACTAACATTTTTGGTTGCTGGTCCATCTTTCTATTTAAGAGCAATTAAAAGGCTTAATATAATACGGATAAAATATAAGAATAACTGTCTGGGACAACAATAAATATCACTTTATTAAGTTTGTACTATTTGAGTTGGAGTTTAAGGAGAGAAAAAATAGTTTTCTAAGCAATCACTGGCAATGATGGGGGGGAAAACTTTTTTGTTTCTATAACCATTACAATGTAAACAGCCATTGCCAGCGATATGGTGTAAAAGAGGATGTAATAGATTGTGCAGTATCTTAAAAAAATATATGATTTGTGTTGTTATCCTGTGATATGGAAAATAAAATATATATTAAAAAAAAAATTATTTCCAGCTTCACTGGCTCTAACGAAGAATGGAAACGTGACCTGTACTCAAGAGGGGGCATTAGCCTGTAGTTGATTGTCACTAGAATTTTCAGAAACAAGTTCAGTATTTTATTTATTTGTTTGTTTGTTTGTTAGACTTTTACCCCGCCCTCCCGCCAAAGCAGCTCAGGGCGGTTTACAGTAGTTAAAAACCAGTATACAATTAATAGAATATCAAGTCTAAAACAATACAATCGATAAAATATCAAAATACAACTTATTAAATTTAAGATTAAGATGTGGCGGCCATCTGTTATAAAGTGCTAATAGTTATGTAGAACAGTCAGTGTGGTCAGACTATTGAAATGCTTGCTGGAACAGCTTGGTCTTTACCGCTCTACAGAATTGTTGAAGTTCCCGCAGAGCTTGAATTTCATTTGGGAGCTGATTCCATATTTTATGGGACCCTGTTTGCTCATCTGCTTTAGTTCATCTGCTGCAAGTGCACTGACAACTTGCCACGAAGATAGTTTTATGAGGCTTACAGTCTTCATTCATCTTTAAACCACTTGGAAGCGGCTTTCTTTGCACAACTAGCATCTTGTATGGAATCTGTGCTTTCGTATATTTGTTCCCATTAAGCAAGAGTTTTGTCAATATTGTTTTGTACATTGTTGCTTGATTGTTGTTATAAGCTTGCTAAAAACAAGTGTTAGACTTTCAGGTCAGATTTGAACATTTATTCATTGTTATATAATATTGTATTGAAGATTTAGAAGTTACTATTACATTTTCACAGTGCTTTTGTTAGTTTGTAGCGTTAGACACTGTGTTCCTTTTTGGTGCCTACAGTTCCTGTCAGAATATAGCGATCTCTTGTGTACAAAGAAGAGGAAAGAAGATCCTGCAGGGGGCAGCAAGTTCTAGCTTGAGAAGACTGTAGGGGGAAGTGCCTTCTTTATAAAGGGACTTCTCTTTGTCTGTCTGCAAAATGGTCTTCTTAGGCTTTCCTTCTGGAAGAGTCTAGAGCTCTCTGTCTCTCACCCTAGCAAGGCAGCTGGGGTTATATCTTTGGTTTCCTATCCAGTTTGTTAGTTCCACAAATAGAACTTTATTTACCCATAATCAGTTCAGTGTCCTGACTTCTGCATAGGCGCTCTGCTATAAAATTTCCAACCGGGCTGGGACCAGAGTCAAGGGGGCAATGTTTGCACTCTGCTTCTGAGCCTTGCCCATTTTCAGACTTCAGGGCATGCTGTGACTGTGAGGAGGACTTGAAGCTTAAAGCTGATGAAAAAATTAAGTGGAGCCCCAGGGCAAGGACTTAAGCAGAGGAGACACCATAGGTGATAAGCATATTCTGAATTTATGAAAGAGGAGCATAAATCAAGAGGAAAGGCCTATCAGAACAGTGTTGTGGCCATTTAGACCCCTGAATTAGAATATAGAGAATGCTTTTAGAGATGGGTTCAGAGATGAAAGGATATTTCTTGGAAGTGCTGAATAAGAACCCCCCAAGAAGCACCACTGTCTTCACCCAATTTTAGCCTACCTTGATATCTGACTCCTTGCGGACATCGCAGACCTGGAAGTAAGCATCCCCTGAGCACCCAGAAGCCTTCAGGTCCCTCTGAATTCCTTGTCCATCTTCCTCTGCAAGGGGGGAGAACAGAACAGTTGCCAGCAGGACAAACCTTCTAACCCTGCCTTTTTTGTGCAGTCTCTGCCGCCTTATCCCTGCACCTTCCTTTCCAGCAGTGCCCAGTCTCGAAGTATACACAAGCGTTTTTTTCTACAAGCATTGAAGACTGTTGCTCCTCTCTCCTGGTTGCCTTCTCCAGGCTAAAAGGGCTGCAAACTAAACAAACTCCTTGGGTGGGCAGGTCGCGTCTAGTGTTGCCTACAGGAACAGGGAAAGACAAAGAACTTGATGACTCACTAGCCTACAGATCATCCACAGCCAAAAATGGTCTGGTGATCCCACTTTCCATCATGTGCATATTCCTCTCTCACTGCATTTGCAACATTCTACTCAAGGGGGAATATAACTTGAATTTCTTACCTGTCTTCTCTCTTGCAGGGCCTGAAGCAGCTCTGCCCACGATCTCATCATTCCAGCTTACTTTAATCTCTGACTCTACTGCACTAAACCTCATACTTTCTTTCTGTTTCCTCAACCTGAGATACTGGAAGCGAGGGAGTCAGGGGCTGGCTATGGGGATCGTACCTCCCCTGTGCTGGAAGATCTGCACTGCCGACCCATCAGTTGCTGGCAAGACAGCCTATCCACAGTGCTGGTTCTTAGCTTCAAGGCTGCCAATGGCTTGGAGCCAGGGTCCTTGAATGACCCCCCCTCCTATATTGTCCACACCCTCTGCCGCCAGTTAAGTCCTGCTCCTGAAGCCCTGCTCTGTGTGCCTACAGAAGTGATGTGGGTGATTGTGAGGCCCCGAACCCTCCTCCCACTGAGACCAGTGTTCCCTCTAAGCTGAGTTAGTGTGAGCTCTGTAAGCCGCTCTGAGACACCTTTGTGTAGTGAAGGGCAAGGTATAAATCGAATCTCTTCTTCTTCTTCTAAAAATCATCCAATGGTTGGACGGCTTCAAAAGGGAATTAGATAAGCATATGGAGCAGAGGTCCATCAGTGGCTATTAGCCACAAGGTATAGCTAGGGGCTCTGGGGCAAGTGATGCTCTGTCTTCTTGGTGCTTGGGGGGGTCAACAGTGGGAGGGCTTCTAATATCCTGGCCCCACTGGTGGACCTCCTGATGGCACTGGTATTTCTGGCCACTGTGTGACACAGAGTGTTGGACTGGATGGGCCTTTGGCCTGATCCAACATTGGCGTCCCTTATGTTCTTATGTTCTTATGACCCACCTGCTCTTCCTGCCAGATTTTGACCGCAGTTACCTTCAGATTGCCCAGTCAAATTCAAACCCCATATCTTGGGCCAATCTCAACCCTGGGCAAGTAAGGTCCCATGTCTAACTATAGGACCTTTCCCCATAAAATGACCGTCCCAAGTCGGTGGAAAGTGTGTCAGGCCCTTGTCCTACCTGAATACCCCAGAAACCTCATTGCAGGCTCCTCTTCTCAAAACTCTGCTGCCTTGGACATCTGCTGAATGGACGTCCTACGATCCTCCACTTCTCACACACACACACCCTTGGATCAGGTCCTATTGCTCATCTGAATGTCCCCGCTTCCCACTCCTTCTCTCTTCTCTCATCCTTCCTTGTTGTGTGAGGGTGGGTGTGTATTGAGAAGGAGAGAACAGCTTACTCAGTTTAAAGGGTTTGTTGTTTGGGTTTGCTCCTAGTCACGGGTTTGATCATTAGTAGATAAATATTACATTGAGCTTTGATCGGTTAGTCTCTGTCCGTTTTCTCGTAGGAATCTCGCTCTGAAACAAAACCTCTATATCGATAGATAAGAGACCCCTTGTTTGTCCTTCTGGAGACCCCTTTAAGAGCTCATCCCCACTCTCTGGGGCCATTTCAGAGAACATGATGAGCAGAGAAAGGGGCTTTTGCAGTGGGGGTACCTGGCCCCTTTGGGAGGAAAGGTGGCCTGGTAAAGCCCAGTCTCGTCAGATCTTGGAAGCGAAGAGCAGGGCTGGTACTTGGATGGGAGACCACCGAGGAAGGCTCTGCAGAGGAAGGTGAAGGCAGGCCACCTCTGCTTCTCGCTTGCTGAGAAAATGCCCCTTGCTGGGATCACCATAAGTCAGTTGGGACTTGATGGCACCGGCAGACATGCCTGACCTATTGTCAGCTATGTTGCCATGGGGGTTGGGGAGTTCATTCTGTGTCTTGGTAATTGCTATTGCATTCCTATCCCTGCTGGTCTGCCTTTGCTGAAACGCTTATCTCTACAGATGTGCAGGAGGAGGTTGTATCGTCTGGAAGTCTCCTATGTACCGTGAGAGACTCCTGGTTCCCAACTTTTGCCACCTAACGGTTTCCTAACTTAACCCCCACGCGGGAGGGTACCTAATTGGCCCATGCCATGGGGGGGGTGCATACGAATACCCTATATCCTATTAGGCTCTACTGGTTGCCGCCATTCTTAACAGTGCCTGTGTTACTGCATCTATAGCTTTGCGATTAAAGTATAACCGTTCCTGAATGTGTGTACTTCATTGTTAGCTGTGGGTTCTGACACCTATTTAGTACCATTCCACTTGATCCCCACCTGGCCCAAACAGCTCTTTTTACCCAGACATGTCATGAAGGGGTTGTTGTTCTAAAATTGTTTTAACATTCCAAGGCAAGGTCTGCATTATGAAAATCATTTGGGGGCTTGCTAAATCTTTCATGTTATGCTGGGGGGGTTAATTAACAATTTAGGCAGCTCTGTCATTTTATCAACATTTTACTTTGTAAGCTGCCTCAAGAAGTATCTCTGTCAAGGTGGTAAAAACATATTTCAAACAAACGGGGGGACCCGGTCATGGCGGGGTGAGGAAAAGGGCTCTAGACTCACCTTCAGATGGTACTGAACAGAAGACCACTTTGGCTCCCTGGCGAACTGGAGGGCGAAGAGAGAAAGGAACGCAAGATGAAACTCAGAGGGGATGCACAACATTTGATTTGTTTGTTTAAAAGACTCGATTCCTGCCTCCCCCACCCCCTGTTTAGATCCTCAAATAACCTCAGAACACTTCAGTGGGGAGAGAAGAGTCATTTTCCGTCTCAGGAGGGGCAGCCTTCTGCAGGCAGATCTTCCTGTCCAGACCAAACTCTCTCTGACAATGGGAGCAGAAGCCCCCTCCCCCCAAGCCCTCCATGAAGACCCTTTCAGGTGGGCAGGCATGGTGGTCTGCAGTAGAAGAACCAGATTAGAGTCCGGTAGCACCTGAAAGGTCAACATGATCTCCAGGGGAGAAGCTTTTGAGAGACAAAGCTTCCAGAATCATCAGATATCTGAATCTGTAAAGTCAGATCCATGGGGTCGCAAAGAGTCGGACTCGACTGTGCGACTGAACAACAACAACAACAAAGTCAGATACAACCTGGAAATCTTGTTACTCTTTTAGGTGTTTCTTGCTGCACCCAAGCCCTGAGACCCAGTCTTACTCTGGAAATATGGGACACCCAGTGCCCCCCGCACCTATTCCTAGTGTCAGCCAGCTCTCAGTCCTATTATCAGCCAGATTGCCACCTTGTATTCTGGCAGCCTGGGCTTCAGGAGCTTTAAGAAGGCGGAAATTCAGCAAGTGCAGCTTTCCCAGCTGTGAATATAGGAACTGCCCACCCCACCCCTTCCCAGAATATGAACCAGAGCTAATAGGGATAGTTCTTGTATATCACACACACACATGCTATAATTTCTTGTCACTTTTGATAACAAAAGAAAGTGCCTTGTGGCACGTCAAAGGCAAATGAAAAGTCTCTCATTCACAAAACCTTGTGCCAGAAGGTACTACTACAGGAGTCCTTTTGGTGTTTGCAGGACAGACAATAAGGCCACTGAGGATAGAAAGAGGATGTTTCCCTCCCTCCCTCCCAATCTCTCTCCATCCCAGATTAGAGATGTAGGGAGCAAGATGTCCTGAGTCTTCCCGACCGGCCCAGCCCCAGCCCCTGTGGGCAGAAAATGCCCCCTCCTCCATTCCCACGTCTCCCCATTCTCACCAAATTCTCTCACGATGCCCAGACCAATGCCTTTGGTGCCACCAGTCACGATCACCACCTTGCCCGGGTAACGCAGACAACTTGCCATGCCAGCAGTTTGCCTCCGTTTCTCTGAATGACTAAAATCCACATAGAGCTTTGCCTATATAGGCTCTTGGGTGGAGCAGTGCCACATCTTAATTGGTTGGGAGGAGTGTGTCCATGGCTAGTCTGCTCACTGTAGGTTGTGGAGCCTGAGGGTTGGTTCTTTCTGAACTGGGAAAAGAATAATGGGGGGGGGTGCTTTTCAAAAGCTCCTGCGTTTGGCGTCTTTGCTGAAAGACCTAAACTGAAGAAGCAGTAGGCAGGAACTATGAAGGAAGCAAGTCTTACTGGATTCCCATTCATGACCTTGCTGCTGAGGATATATCTTGTATATGGGGGGCCCCCCTCCCACCCAGCCACCTAGGGTTGTCAGCAATGCTCCCTCTAAGCTGTGGAGTCTTGTGAGCAAAAATACTACTTTGTGAGCTACTGGCATTAAAGTTGTGAGCGAGCAATTCAACTGCTGCTTTAACTAGTTTGTTCTGGAGCCATCATTCCTGAGCTAAAACAAAAATGTGTGAGCCGGAGACTAAAAAACTGTGAGCTAGCTCACACTAACTCAGCTTAGAGGGAACACTGGTTGTCAGGTCCCTGTGGGCAACCAGCAGGGAATGGGCGGGGTTTATCAGGAGGGGGAAGGAGGCCCAGGCTACACTGTCAGTGACAGTGATGTCACTTCCAATGACATTCTGGTATTTCGGCAAAAACTCTGTGGTAAAATGATTTTTACCATAGAGTTTTTGCCCAAATACCAGAGCATTGCCCTGATGTTGCCAACCTGATGACATCACTTCCAGTACACACTGGAGTTAACGTTGCCACATAGCCTGGACCTTCCGCTCACTCCTAGTAAGTCCCCCTGCCAGCCAGCTGTGTTTCTACAAAGTTTTTTTCCCTAAATTTGTCTATTTGTTTTGAATTAATAATTTTTTTTATCATGATGTCTTAGATATTTGGACCGTGAACAACAACAATCTGAAAAATGATTTTTGATGGACCTCATGGATTCCAATAATGACTTGAGACTTATCTCATTGATGAACTGGCCCTACTTGTGTGTGTGAGGGATACAGATTAATAATTTGGGAAGGGGGATTGAATTTTACAAATGACTCACACAATAATTAATGTAAATGATCCTTTTTTCCTTCCTCCCATTTCTTCTCACCCCCCACCCCCAGTTTTAAAGTTCTCAACAGAAATGTTTTATTTTGTATTCTGAATAATTTCACTTTATGTTGTGTATTTTAATTATTTGTACCACTGAGGGAGGCCTTGTGGCCAAAATGCATTTGGTTTTAATGAAATCTTAAAATTATTTGCAATGCATTGAAGCACTATTAATTTTGCATATGCAGCCCATTAGAATTCATTCAGTCAAGAAGAAGCATTCTGTCAGCCTTCTTGGTTACCTGTTTTTTCTCGGCTGAAGTTTCTTTCCCTTTCTGTTTTGGTCTCTGAGGGGCTCCTGGACCTGCTTATAGCTGTTCTTCTGCAAACCAACATGGCTACCTTTCACACAATAATTAATGTAAATGATCCTTTTTTCCTTCCTCCCATTTCTTCTCACGCCCACCCCCAGTTTTAAAGTTTTCAACAGAAATATTTTATTTTGTATTCTGAATAATTTCACTTTATGTTGTGTATTTTACTAATTTGTGCCTCTGAGGGAGGCCTCGCGGCCAAAATGCATTTGGTTTTAATGAAATCTTTAAATTATTTGTAATGCATTGAAGCACTATTAATTTCACATTAGCATTCATTCTGTCAAGAAGAAGCGTTCTTTCAGCCTTCTTGGTTACCTGGTTCTTTCTCGGCTGAAGTTTCTTTCCCTTTCTGTTTTGGTCTTTGAGGGGCTCCTGGACCTGCTTCTAGCTGTTCTTCTGCAAACCAACACGATTGCCTTTGGAAACTATCTGCAAGGAAACGCTTCCAGGACATTGGCGGCCAGAGGGCCACAAGAGCTGCCTGCTGCCAAGCCAGATTTTGCCCAAGGGCAGGGCAGTCAAAACCCAGGGCATGAACAGTGAGGCCATCACTCACCTTCAGGCTCTCTGCAGGGCTGCCATGGGTCTCGTATTGACCCAAGCAGTCCGGAAGTTTAACTGACTGTCCGGGGGTGGGGGGGGTGGGTTGGATAAAATCTCTGGCATTTAAATGCCCAGTATTTTTTTCAGTGTTTTCGCCAGTCAATGAAAATACTCGACTGTCTGGGTGAGCTGACCACAGCAAACAGCATGAAGTACGGTCTTTGTGCTTGGAGGGGGCAGTGCCAAGGCAGGCCAAGCTCAAAGCTGCAGCTGCCGTTGCTGCTTTGTATTGGGGCTGGGTGCAGTTTGGTGTAGTGGTTCAGTGCGCGGACTCTAATCTGGGAGAACCGGGTTTGATTCCCCACTCCTCCACTCGCACCTGGCTGGATGACCTTGGGCAAGCCAGTTCTGGTAAGAGCTGTCCTTGAAGAAGAGCAGTTTCTGTCAGAGCTCTCTCAGCCCCACCTGCCTCCCAGGGTGTCTGTTGTGGGGAGGGGAAGGGAAAGGAGTTTGTAAGCCGCTCTGAGACACCTTTGGGTAGTGAAGGGTGGGGTATAAATCCAATCTTCTCTTCTTCTTCTTCTTCTTCCTCTGAGGGTGGAGCAGCAAGTTTTGCATGGGTTGCACGGCTTGACCTGGGAGGAGGGGAGGCGGTGCTGAGCCCAGGTGCAAAACTGCAGCAGCAGCTGCTTCTTCACACTGTGCCTGGGGGCTCCTCCCAGCACAAGCCACACACTTCATCGATTCAAAGTCATCCTTCCAAGAAGAAGAAGAGCTCCGTGAAGGGGCTGCATCATGATTGTGTAGCAAAAGAAGACAAAGCAAGACTCTTTTAACATTGGACTAGGACCACGCAGCAGTGAAACTCACTGGAGGCCAGTGTTCCCTCTAAGCTGGGTTAGTGTGAGCTAGCTCATGGCTTTTTAGCCTCCGGCTCACACGTTCTTGCCTTAGCTCAGGGACGAGGGCTCCAGAGCCAACTAATGTATGCAGTCGCCAAATTGCTCGCTCACAACTATAATGCCCATAGCTCACAAAGTAGAATGTTTGCTGACAAGACTCCTCAGCTTAGAGGCAACATTGCTGGAGGTTCTTGGGCCACTCAGGGGTGCAGAACCTCAGCCTGCCATACAGGATGCTGTGAGCAGGAAGAGGAGAGCCGTGTGTGTCACCTGAGGCTCTTTTTCTGAGGAAAGGCAAAATCCAAAAAGTCCTTTTAAGACACACCAGTTTCAATAGGCCACACTGACAGAGAAGACTCATGTTTTTATCCTTGTGGGTAGGGGTTGCTACTTTTCAAACTCGTCTCTCACTGGTTTCCTCTAGTATTGGTTTGGTCCACATCAAATACCAGGGGTGTGTCATTCCCATCCATACCAGGGACAAACTGCCCATACATTAAGGGACAGGTCAGTCTTCCTCAAGCCTGTTGGCCACCCTGCTTCCCGGGTTTCCAATCTTGTAACGTCTGCTGGAGAAGACTCTGGAGAGTCCCTTGGACTGCAAGAAGATCAAATCAGTCAATCCTAAAAGAAATCAACCCTGACTGTTCCCTGGAAGGCCAGATAATGAAACTGAAGCTCAAATACTTTGGCCACCAAATGAGAAGGGAGCACTCCCTGGAGAAGACCCTGATGCTGGGAAAGACTGAAGGTCAAAGAAGACGGGGACAGCAAAGGATGAGATGGTTAGACAGTGTCACTGATGCAATGAAGTTGAGCAAACTTCAGAGGACGGCGGAAGACAGGAAGGCCTGGCGTGATCTGGTCCATGGGGTCGCAAAGAGTCGGACTCAACTGTGCAACTGAACAACAACAACAACAACGTCTGAGGGACAAATAGAAATTCAGCATGTCTACTGGTCCTGGAATGAAAGACAGCAGGCAGCCCGTCTTGGATTCAGCTTCACCTGGTCCAGACTCTGATAGTGTAAGCAAGAGCTGAGCCCTGGAATGTCTCTTCTCTATGCAGGCTTTAGTTGGTCATATGAATGTGCCCCAGGACAGTGAGACCATGGAATGGTGGAACTTCATTAAACTTTTCCTGTTGATGTTTTCTGTTTACTTCCTCCTGACTAACAACTGTGCCTTTTCTGATCCCAAATCTCATCATCCAATAAAGGAACAGTTCAAAGAAATGAGATGTCATAAATGTGCTGTTGGTGTTTGGTTTGAGTACATGAGAATGAGTTTGCGTCAGGACTCACCCTTCCTAGTTGAGCGGGGTTTGGTGCCCTCTCCTGAGCCCTACAGCTTCCTTTCCCTGCACCTCCAAGGCTCTCTGCCTGGAATCATTTGCTTCTCTTCCTTAACTCCCTTTTTGTTTGTTGATGGGCATCTGTTATGTTCTAGAGTGACCCAAATCAACCTCTGCAGGAACAGGGATGGAGAGAGAGCTAAGGCAACAGCTTCGAGAGCCCTGCAGCTCCAGAGCTGCAAACAGCCACTATTAGAACTATCCTGGGCTGCACCTGTTCCAGGTGTACAGAGCAAGCTAAGGAGACAGGGAAGGATGGGTAGCAAAAGAGCCTGGAGAACAGAAGAGAGGAGCCATATGTGGGGTGGGGGGTTTATCTCTTCAGCAGAATTCTGTTCTGAGATTTTCCTCCCTGAACAGTCTAGAACTCACTGTTTCCCACCTGTTAAGGTAACTAGGTCCATATGCTTCCTATCCAGTTTGTTAGTTCCACAAATAAAGTTTTTGTTACCCATAATCAGTTCAGTGACCTGACTGCTGCATATAACACCTCCGACCTGACTGGGCCCAGTGTCAAGGAGGAAAGGTCTGCAGTCAGCTTCTGAGCCCCGCCCATTGTCAGGCTACACCAAACGCTTGCACCAGCCATGCAAGGGGCATGCTACGGCAGTGACTGGGCTAGAAGCTTGACAATGTAGAAATTAATTGGAACCCCAAGCAGGGACTTAAGCAGAGGAGAGAGATGTGCCTTCAAAGATGACACATATTCTGCGTTTATGAAAGAGGAGCA